GAGGATGGCCTGTGAGAGACTTCCAGAAGCAAGATTGGTTTTGAGGAAAATGTCATGCTTGGTTGCAACATGCAACTTTGCAATATATTATTCTCTTTCGTGAAGTACAACTTCTTCATAAAAAAATGTGTAGCCATTTTGCTTGTTCCAAGAAGGAGTATTTACAATGAGCCAAGACGAACTCGGGAACCATTACAATGAGTAATATAATTGACACCAACTGATGAAACTGTTTCAGGAGAATGTGGTACTTGTGACAAACCTGACAATACAGTTTTTATTGTGTAAAGAGCAATGCAGAATAGAACTTGGAGTTGCCTTTGCTCTGGGGAAGCTTAAAGCAGAGAATAGAGGTGATAAATATGCAAGTATGAAATACTGCCTAAGCTAGCAAGGAATTTGCAGCAGAAGGTGCTACCTCACAAATTTGTTGAAGGTTTGAAGGTATCAGTGATCCTGTAGATGAAGATGATCTTACTACTTCAGTGTAGCTGGATTTTCAAAATTTTCTCATTGAGGCCCTTTGTTAGAGGCTCTTTAATTACAGCTTGGTTTTGGAGGTGTGTGGGGAGAGGTTATCTCATGCTTTAATATCTGGCTGATACAGTAGACAAGATAGAAGTAAGTTTTTGCTTTCTTACTGGATCGTTCATCAAATAGGAATGAGAAGTGACTGACCGTAATTGTCATTTGGTTTCCCTGCTTCCTATCCAGTCCTCCTTTCCCAGTGCTCTTAGCATATCTGCTGTCTTTTAAAGCATATCTGAAAAATGCGTGGTGTCTTCTGACTTCTTTGTGTGTCAGGAAAAATAAATTTGAAGTATCAAATAACACAGATGGAAAGGATGTTTTTTGATATTTTTATTTATGAAGGGAATCTGTCCTGTCATGGATCTGAAGAGACTGAAATTCAGATGCTATTAGTTCCCCATCACAGTGTTCCTTCAGGTTAAAAACTGCTTGATAGTTCTTAATTTCTGAGGCTGTTTCTACTTAACTTTGGATCTGCAGTGCAGTAAGACCATGTCTTACCTTGTACCTATAATACAGTATTTGTAGGATATCTTAACCTCATGCCCCTATGAGCTTAGCTGAAGCCACCTCCTTTTCCAGTAAATCTCTAGATAAGCAGATAATGTTAAGCTAAGGTAATGTTTAAGTGAAACAGCTAAAAAAAAAAAAAAAACCCAAACCACTCAATATTCCCACTGCTTGCATTTTGCTCCCAGTAGGTCCATGGTCTTCAAATAGCTTGTGTGAGCCATTATAGTGCATGAACAAATAAAGCCACAACAGGGTTCCACTAGCTTTCATGTATCACTCCTTGACCAGTGTTGTATTTTGAAAAGGAGAGGATATGTGTCAGGATGGGGATTAAATTTAAAATCTTAAGAATTTCAACTATAGCTGAGAATTTTTCTGTATGTGAATGATTTAGCACACAAGTTGTCCACAAGACTAGTCATCTAAGCAGTAGATACTGTAATACGGTACAGTCATCTCAAGTCATGTCTCTTTTGATATTTATCGAAATATAAATCGAAATTTATATTTACCTCAGTGCATGTAGTTGTTTGTATCCTGAGGGAGTAATATTGTTACCAAATCAAATGCTCCCATTTGTATATTCTTGGATTCCATAGCTGCACAGGATGGTGGTGGTTTTCTGCTGTAGGACTGGCTGCAAAATGGAAAGTCCATGTTTATCAGAGCATCTAAATTTGGAAATCTCCAATCAGTCACAACATTATCAAGAAAAAAAAAACATTAAAACATTAAAAGACTCTGACTACAGTTACTAATTATTGCTTTCTGATTCCTGTGTTTGCAGTAGGTGAGCAGTTGATTGAGATAGAGAAATACATGTCTGCTTACTATGCTGTAAGGATTCTGTTGACTGCAGGGGCAAGGAAGAGCTTCCTTCCCTGGTATCTTTTTCTTCTTTTTTTTTGTTTTTATTCTTGCTCTCCTCTCTCGCTGCTGCCCCCCCCCGCCAGCCTCTTAGCTTGGGCGTAGTTTCTTTTAGTCTGGTTTGCCGGTGGTTTGCAAGACAGAATGAATAGGTTGCTTGTTTGTGTTCCCATACGGACAAACAAAATGAAGGCAAAAAGGGATCTTTATATTGAGCAAGTATTATAAAGTAGGCATTTCCAGTTGTGATTGCTACTCTAATCTGTTTAGCAATTTCTTGTGGTGTATGGTTTGTATGGGTTTTTTTATTTTGTTCTAAGTTTAAGGAGATTTTGTGGTAGTTTTTAGGATATGTAAAGTGTTTCGTGTCCCCTGACCTAGACAGAGTTTTTGTTTGGGAGTTGGTGGGTGGTTTTGCGAATAACAACTCTTGGTTTTGGTAGACCCTACTATTCTAAGCATCTACTCTGTGGCTGTTTGCTGACAGGGGACTAGGATCAAGGATGCAGCTGATCCCTCTTAGTCCTGTTTAGTAAAGTCCACCAAAGTTTAGGGAAAAAGGGAGAAGGAGCTAGTGAAGCTGTATGGTTCTGCAGTCTGTCTTCTCATGACTTTATTTATCTTTTGCCATTTACAGTAGAGCTTTGAGAGTCAATGGGGCGGTGTGTCCATGCCTTCTGTTTTGAGAGGCTTTTGAGATGTCACACTTTAGAACACTGATACACAGTGTCACATTTTCCTTTTCCATTATACATCTGGCCCATTTTGTATCTCGCATTTATCGTTTGTAGTCAGCAAATCCCATTTCCAAGTCCTTGACTGCTTTTCTGAGGTGTATATTTTTTTGGAAATACACTACTGGTTAGCTTTTTTTCTTAGAGGTTGCAAGGATCTCTTTTTAAAGATGTGTCAGTTCTCTTACTCTTGCAGTAAGGATGTCAAGATTCATTGGAAACATGGATGGGGGAAAAGAATTAAACAAAAAAAAAAAATTGGCTTATATATAATGAGAGTTCTAGGAAGGTGTACATGGTGTCTTCTAAAAGAACCAAGATGTTCAAGTCTGTCTTAAAAAATTAAGGCTTTAAAGCTATACTTAGGAAATGTATCTTGTTTCTTGTAACTTCTGTAAATTCTGTACCTTGCATTTTGGCAGATTCCTCTGAACTGCTGAGAACGAAATTACCATTGCAACAGCCATTTTAACAAAAAAGATTTAATGAACTCCTTTTTCCTTTTTTTGAAAAATAAAGACCACTGTAATCAGTCCTCATTTTTTTGAATGACTCTTCATCACAACTGTAATAGAAATCAGTGTGGTGTGGATGCATGTCACCCAAACAATCAAAGTCTTCTGTCTAATCTGGGACATAACAACATGTGCTGAAATTAACCATTGCTATTTCAAATGTTTGGCTTTAATTTGTCTAAGCTCAAGATCACCACAAGTGCATGAGGCAATGTGAGTTAGCCAGGTGGATGAATACATTACATAATGAGGATTAAAAATATTGAGGGACTCTGCTAGAAAAATACCAATTTTTTTTCTTCTTTTTTCCCTTCTCTTACGCATTTTAGATTGAGAGGTGAATAAATATGCAGTCTGGGCTGAAATCTATCAAGTTCAATGCAGAACTCCAGAATTCTACTCTGTTCCCTGCAAAAAAGATGATTCTTTTTATGAAGCTTGTATATAATATGCAGTGTAGTGCTAAATAACTTATATCTCAATAAAAATATTGCGGTATTCAATATACTCTGAAGTAGGAAGATTGGAAACAAAATGCTTTGTTATGAAATGTATTTGTTGGATGGTATTTATAAAAATCCAGGTTATTTGTCTGGTATAGAAAGTTTCTGTTGTTTGATCTGAATTTGGCATAGTTTGCACTTAGGCCAGAAGTCTACATTAATGTAAGGGAAGAGCAAATATCTGCACATCTGTAACTCAGAACAGTAAATTTTATTGTCTGAGCCTTTCTATTTATTTTTATTAGATAGAATCAAATTTTCTTTGAGTGAGTAGTGGTAATTCAATCCAGGATATAGATTTGATCCAAAAATACTTATTACAGTATATGGTACATTATGATCTGATTTTTATTTTCAGTCCTGACAGATATAAGGTACTAAGATTTTATTAGCTATGGGAGATTTTAATCTCTTAATGGTGTTGCTGGAAGTATCTTGGGATACTGAGAGATTCTGGCCTACAGTTGAGAAATGCTTTAACAATTACAGGGTGAATAGTGTGTAAGGCAGAGGATAAGATTAGTTTTCATTCATTCTTAGTTTGCTAATTAATTGAACATGTATTAGCTGAATCAAAAATAGTGTGTTTTTGTAAAATATGGGGAGATACATATTATACATATTTTTAAACCCAAGATAAAATTACTCCTTTCCTTTTCTTCTTTTAAGCTGCCAGCTAATAAAGATGCCTTCCGAAAGACATGGAACCCTAAGTATACGCTACGCAGTCATTTTGATGGAGTGCGGGCATTAGCTTTTCATCCTGTAGAGCCTGTGCTGGTTACAGCCTCTGAGGACCATACTCTAAAACTTTGGAATTTGCAGAAAACGGTTCCTGCCAAAAAGCAAGTATATGGGTTTTTATAAAACATCAAATGTGTTTTAAATGCCTTTGAAAGTGATTAACTGTTAAGTGTTTTCAGAGTTTTTCAGTGGAGATTTCATGTAGTGTAATAACTCTTCCTTTCTCTTTCAGGAGTGCCTCTTTAGATGTAGAACCCATCTACACATTTAGGGCCCACATGTAAGTGTTTGACATAATACATGCTTCATAAATATATTGTCGTTATCTTATGGATTCATAAGACACTTCAGTTTAAAAGACACAAATGTATTCTGTTTTTACATCATATAGACAAGGTCCATTATACTTTGTAAAAACAGGTAAATACTGAGTCCCTGTCATGAATTGCACAGTCCATGATAAAATGAGAAGAACAGGAAGTGGCAGATGTGGTTAGTTGCAATGGAAAGGAGAGATTGTAGAAGACGACAATGAAATCACCTGAGTGATGCCCATGTCTTGGATTGTGGATTGTATATATAATATGTGAAGAAGATAAATAAGGTAGAATTTATTAGTCTTACTTAGTATCTTCAGGTACAGGTCTGAGAATGTAAAAGTACAGATGCAATCATCAGTACCAAAAAAAGAACCCCACTGAATGTCAATTCAATGAGTGAACAATCGGGAGATCAAGCAAGTGACTAGGAGTGTGCTGAATTTTGTTTAGGGGCTTGAACAAGAATAAGAGATAAAATTTTATTGCCATGATAGGCCAAAGTAGTAGGTAGGGCATAGGTATTAATTCATACATATGCCTCTCAGGTCTGGGGGAACTTGAAAATCAGTGACATAATTGCTGTAATCAAAAAGTTGATTAATACCTGAGTAAAGTTCTGGTAGCTACAGTCAGTTCTCTTGCAATGTCCACCCAGGCTTCCTCCTTTCCAATCTCAAGCTTGCCTGCTTTGTGTGCAGATGGTGGTTCATTACACACCATAACAAATATGCTCATTTCTGATTGCAGTCCAGCCCAAGATCTTGGGAAAGCAGATTGCATAAACCAGTCTGAAACAAGAAAAGATCTTTGTTGTGGCAGAGAGTGACAGTGAGCTAACCTGAATTAAAGAAAGTTAGTAAAACTTGCAAGTTGAGCTGGGACTTGTAAAACTCCTAGTGATTTTTCAACTTGCATTTAATTGTTTTATTACTTGCCTGAGTTTCAGTTGCTAATTTTGAATTCTGCTTCCTTCCAATAAGAAGGCAAGACAAAAATGCACAGTCTGTAGCCAGTCACAGTAGTTTGAGTGTACCTTGCTTATATAACTAAAGATCCAGTCTCCAACCCAGTTAGCAGGTAAGCTTCACGAGAGCTCTTTGATAAGCATGGAAGTGGATAGCACTTTCTGTGCGGGCCTCAACAAGAAGGGGGGGGGGGGAACCCAAACAACCCACCACTGAAGAAGAAAAGAGACATCAGTAGTTTGTATGAGGAAATCCACACATACTATTGTCACCCTCCTCCCTCCCTTAAGCCACTTACTTGATAGAACATAATGTCTTATTTTTGCACTTTTTAGCGTAAGCGTAAAACACCCTTCCTAGGGCTGTGTGACTAATTTGTCATATTTAAATACCAGTGTTCTTTTGAGTGATAGAGGGTCACTGACCAATTGAATTCTCCTTCAGATCTCTTTCTCTGTCTAAATTTGGGCTATTATTTGGGCTTTTGTTACTGAATACCAAATGGTAAAGTTTGCTAAAGTTTGCGGAAGTTTTGGTACAGAACTGATCCCCACCCTGTGACTTCCAATGAGACTGGTAACAAAGTAATTTTACTGGTTTTCCCTCAGGCAGGCTTTGAGCAACATTCCCTTTCAGCCCAGCTTTGATCTTCACTTTGCCAAATACGTAGGTGGATTCAACCAATATTCTTCCTCTTCGCCATCTTCAAATATGTAATTCTAGTTTGCTCATCTGCACTTAAACAACCAGCGAACTCCTTATATCCTGAGCATGGCCCGCCAAATGAGCCAGGCATCTAATTTTGGGGATATGGTTTTACAACACAGTTAAACCTGACTTAGAGGAGCAGGCCTGCTGCTTCCTTTGGGCTACAGCATGTGCTTGTTTGATATAGCAAACAGGTTGAAGTTAAACTGGTAAAAGTCTAACCTTGGCCAAAAAGTACTCTTTCTGGGATTGTTTTTCTGAACCACTTTACTGGGGCATAGGTTACTGTCAGTTCCTAAAATAGGATGAGAAAATAGTTGAGGGGGGCACAACCACCTCTTTCAGAACAGCTAGCTATTTAGCTATTAGGTTGCCATAGATGCATTGTAAAAACTCACTGTTTGTAGGTTTAGTTACTGTTGCTTCTGAGAAATAAGATTATGTTCTTTGAATTGCTTGAATTTGGATAGTTTTAATTAATTTGTTATGAATATTTTAATACAGGTTAGTATTACTTGTTGAGACTTAAAAAAGGTTTTAACAGAATTATTCCTTTGGAGTTTGAATTTTTTTTAACTGCTTCATCCAATCCAGTTTGGTTTTTTGGGGTTTGGGGTTTTTTTGGAAGTAGATAGCTAATTTTCACTTCTATCCTGTAGGCAGTGTCAACAAACTTCTTTTTCTCTGTCTCCCAATAGTGGACCTGTATTGTCATTGGCAATTAGTTCCAATGGAGAGCAGTGTTTCAGTGGTGGTATTGATGCAACCATCCAGTGGTGGAACATGCCTAGCCCTAATGTGGATCCATATGATACCTATGGTAAGTACCTTTTAAAAGATAAGCAACTCATGACCGTTGTCTTCAACATTAATTTTCTGCTTGATGCTAATCTGTTTTCTAGAGCTTTTGTGAAATGAACTGCCATTTATCAACTAAATTGTGTGTTTTCAACTTTGTGCATGTGGTAAACATTAATTATTTATTCCCACTTGTCTTGGTGACGTACTTTGTATAGAACTGTAATAGGAAGACTGGCAATTTCTGAGGTTTAAACCGTAAAGAAGAATTTAATCATAACTCTTATTTTTTAAGAAACATGCTTACTACTTTGAATCAAAATTCCAAATTTTTAAATTATTGTTTATTTCTTCTGATAGGAAGTTCTCAGAAAACTAAGATAAGTGTACTCAAATTCGATGTCCCATGTTTCTGATTTGCACCTCAGTTCCCATAACTGATGTCCCTAAAATTAAAGAGCAGATAACTGCTTGAAAAACTGTGCATCAGTTTCCTGCCGTTGATGGTGATCAGCATTTTGTGTTTAGTATAATTCCAAGGGTGCAGTTCCATGGTTGACTGAAGTTTGAATGGGACAGAGTCGAGATTTCTTCCTCTCTCCCTTGTGTCAATATAATGGGTGAGCTAATACCAACATGCTGCATAATCTGTGGCAGTGAGGTGCGGAATGATGGGAAGCAGTGCTATCTTGCACCGATTTAGGAAGACCACTACGCCCAGTCCCTTAAAACCAATATATAGCTCAAATTGTTCCTGTCTTCTAAAAATTTATTCAACATAGTCTGATTGCTAAAAATGGTCTGATTTGTTCATGCAGGTAGGATTGTTGGTATAATTTCATGGGCCTCAGACAGAACGGTCTCTATTCAACTGACAAAGTTATTTTTAAAAGAGAGAGCTCTAATAGGATCTTTTTCCTTCCTAAAGCTTGTTAGCAGGGCTTTGGGTTGCAAGACTGACTTGTTTTTAATTTCCTGCAAAACTAAATTTTAGTGATTTATCTGGCTTTATTCCTTTCCATTTATCTTCTTCTCTCACGTCTCTACTGAAAGCCTGGTAGAGAATAGCTTAAAACCCCCTCTATAAAAGACAACTATAACGTATCAGGGAGAAGAAAATAAGAATGTATTTACCTGTTCCACAACAGAAATAATCTTGTTTTAATTATTAGGGTGCTTGAGAGTTTTAGAGCATGCCCATGTGTCAGCAAAGTACACTGAGTAAAAAAACAGCATTAGGCATTGGTGTTTAAGTGGAAAGCTGATTTTGTTAGGTGTTTTTGCACCTTGTACAGAAGAAGGGCTGTGACCAAGCATCTTTAAGATGGTGAATTTGGAGGGAAGAAGCAAATGCCTCAGAGAGGAGGTGGTAACAAGTGTGTATCATTCTGGAAAAAGGGCCATAGTTGTTTGTGAGGTTTTTTTGGTTGGTGGGTTTGGTTTGGTGGGGTTTTTTGTTTGGGGTTGTTTTTTTTTTTTTTTTGGTGTGTGTTTGGGGTTTTTTGGTTTTTTTGTTTTGGTGGGTTTTTTTGAGAAAGTTGTCAGTGGTTGTGCAAAATGACCTGTATAATAATCTAGCTGTTGCTTAAACAGGAAGGGCTGGGGAGATACATGACAGTTTTATGTGGAATTTAATTTATATTGAGGTACAAGAAATAACCTATTTGATGTTTCTTCACTAAAAAGATTTCATTTCTGAACTTTTGGGTTTTTTTCCAGAGCCAAACGTTCTAGCTGGCACATTAATTGCTCACACAGATGCAGTCTGGGGTCTTGCTTACAGTGGTGTAAAGAATCACTTACTATCCTGTTCAGCAGATGGCACTATTAGATTATGGAACCCACAAGAAAAAATGCCCTGTATTTGCACTTACAATGGAGAGAAAGGTAAGTTTTAGCAGTTCTTCCAAAAATCTGTTATGAGGCAGATGATGATGTGTCCAGGCTCATTATCTCCATTTATCAAAACTAGGTAACAGGACTAAAGGGAAAAGATTTATTTTTTTAATAAAGCAGTCCTGGTGCTGTAGCATTATTCTAAAGAAGCGAGTCAATTTCTTCTTTAAAGTATGAGTATAAAACAGGCTAAATGTTTAAACTGTCAAGAATTTTAAAAGTGTTTCATTATTTCTAAGAACAATTTTTTTTCTCTTTCTAGAGCATGGAATACCTACATCAGTTGACTTCATAGGTTGTGACCCTGCTCATATGGTGGCATCTTTTAACACTGGCAGCACAGTCATCTATGATTTAGAAACATCCCAGTCAGTGGTAATGCTTTCATCACAAATAGAATCTGGTAAGTAATGCTCTTCTGTATTAAATATCCATCTTGGATGAGGTACCTTTATCCAAGTTTTATTATGTGGTGAATTAAATGAAAAAGTTTTGCTCCTGTCCTGCGTCATGCAATTTGGAAGTTGGTTGGATGCTTAAAGATGCTTGGAACAGACATGATGGAAAAGATTGTGGATTAGCAGGATTTGAAAGTGGTTAGAGATAGTGAAAGCAACAGTTTTGTTCTCTAAGCTAAGGTTTCTCAAGATTCAGTTGTCCAAATTGCATATTAAAACACAGTTTTCATTATATAGCCTCAATATGGAGGATATTAAGATAAGTAAATAAGTGAATTAAGCAGAATATTAGTTCAGTATAGAATTCCGCATGGGTTGTGATTAAACACTCTCCTGTGGAACTTTTTAATACTAGAAATTCTGTTGCTACAAATAGGGTGCTACAAAGATGTAGCTTTTTAAGAATTGTATGTATCTGATGAAACTCTAGATAGAGGAGCCTTCTTTTCTTGAACCTGTGAAAGTGTTCCATAGGGAAAACCTCCAGTTTCTGGTCATTCCTTTCTTTGAAAAGACATCTAAAAGAATAATGCAAGGGGAGAATTTGCTTCTCTCATCCAAGTAGTCCAGTTTACTTAGCGATTTAGAGTATTAAGTAGCTTATATAAAGACTTAACACAGGTTACAAAACTGTGTAAAAGCTATATTCTAGGTAGCTTGTGCAAAAACTGGCATTGACAGTGAGAAAGAATATCACAAACCAGAGGAATACCTTTCCTAGTTTGAAGAGAGAATCTTAAATGGAATCAACAGAATTTAAGCACAGAAATGAAGGTACCAAGCCATAAAACACTGGCATATCAATGTAAGAAAATGTTTTTTAAAGAATGTTCTAAAAACTTCTGAAGAGTTTCTAAACCATTCCTTGTTTCTTTAAGTTGAAATAAGACATAAATATATCTGACAGAATCTAATAGGATAGGTTGACTTCAGTTATTCGGATTCTATCCCCCCTT